TGCATGACTGTGCATATGCAAACGACGCGGTGCCTGCTCAGGCCCAGATGCACCACGCATTTTCCAATCGTGGCGCCCCATTCTCCCCGCAGTCCAAGACATCGACCACCATCTTGCAGTACAACCTCATCAGTGCGCGCAACGGCAATGGCAACAGCAGATCGAGCGGCAGCGGCAGCAGGGACGCGCTCACGAACCTGCAGCAGATGATTGGCGTGGTGCAGCCGCAGTCAAGGAGCGAGAAGTTGCGAGTGCGCGAGAGAGAGAGGGCTGCGTGGGAGGACGAACGAGAGTGGGCTGCGCAGGAGGGAGACGTACATCCCGCCGCAGACCTTTGAGTGTTGCATTGTTCTGACGTCGGTTGTTCTGCATGCATCCAAAGCGGCAGCAGCAGGCGATGGCGCCCCAGGGGCCGGCCATGGCCATGGATGACCCACCGGCACAGGCACCAGAGCTTGTCAGGCGCGAGCGAGAGCGGAAGTCATCTTTGGAGCGCTAACACAGATCGGGCGCGGGGACGCCGCTGGAAGACTTGTTCAAGAAGCGCTTCCGGACCCGACGCCAGTCGGGGAGCAGCGGCGGCATCCCCAACATCATGGTGGAGTCGCCAGTGAGTTCCATCCCGTATCGCTATCGCTACACACTGACCCGCTGACCCGTCTGCCCGCAACGCACCATAGACCACCGCCACGGTTTCCCGGGCCTCGACGATCGCCGCCGCCAACCAGCCACATCTATTGAGCCCAGAGATGCATCAGCTGTCCCTGCCGCTGCCCGCTGACGCCGCAGATTTTGCTGTCTCGGACTCTGACCCGCGGCCGCTGCCCCCGCTGCCAGAGTTCTACCTGACCACGCCCAGCACTGTCGGCATCGCCGACGAGGTTGAGCAGCATCTCCCCGCCGGGTTCGTGCCCATGGGCGCCGCCGACCCCCCACATGACTTCGGCGCACCGAAAGCAAAGGGGCCCAGATACAGCTACGAGGTCGCGCCAATACCCCCTGGCGTGGTCCATCCCAATCCGCCTGGCAGGAGAAGCACCACGCCTGGGCGGAGGAGCGCTACGCCGCACGCCGCCGCAGGGGTGGCGCTCCCGCGCTCGCCGTCCAGCACGCCGAGCGCCTGCGGCCGGCGTGGCAGCCTGAGCGGCCATTTGTCGCTGCTGTCGCTCCCGCTCGCGTTTGTGGCATCTCCTTCTGCCCGCGCGCCGAGTGATTAGAGGCGAGCGCGCACGTTGGGGCCCCTTAGCTGGTGCGCGACAATTGGGAACAGCGTGCTACTCGACAGCGGAGCTGAGTAGGTAAACTGTACTTTATACTTGAGTGTGGCGCACTGACCGGGCAGGGGCAGGACGGGGGATTTGAGGATGTTGCGGCGGCCGGTAAAGGATGCCAAGGTAGGGTTTGCAGAGCGCGTCATCTTGTTGCGCTGTTTCTAATGACCTGGTGCGGTACGGTCAAAGCGGGCGGGTGGTGCGGACACGCGTGGTCCAACGTACATGGTCGGGCGAGAAAACGCGGTCGGCGGCAGGAGGTGACTTGAGTCAACGGGGCGCCGTCGACGTGCACTTACGCCCGCCGCCCTGGTTCTCGCTCTTACTCCGCGCATGCCCCTGCGCGTGCGCGTGCCTGGGCGCGACGGGTACCTACTGCACGTGCAAGTCTCCGCCCATGCCGCCGGCCGTGTCGGGCCCCTGCGTCGTGCGGTCTGTGGGTGCGGGTCCATTCACCTGGCCGAGCCGCGCAAAGGCTACGGAGCGCGGCCAGTACAATGGCAGTGCGAGTGAACATAATGGCGGCAAGCGGGAACGATGGCGGCGCGAGCAGACACGATGGCGGCGAGCGGGAACGGCAGTGGCGCGAGCGAACACGACGGCAGCGCGAGCGGACACGACAGCAGCGCGAGCAGGTATTTGTGCGACTTGGCGTGTTTGTGCTGCGGCGGCGCGAGGATTTGGACTACACTGAATTGCGCCATTCGGAGGAGACATCTGGTTGATTAAATATATTTTACTTGCCTACAGGGTGTAGACTGTGTTAGATTCAATCCGAGCTCACTCACCTGCATCCCGCGGGCCGTCTCTACAACGCGGGGGGCACCAAATCATCCCTATATCGCACAAACATATGTACTTCTTTACGCTGCAGAAACTCACCTATCTTTCGAATTTCGACAGGTCAGTCCAGCAAATCGCGCGCGCGCACGTCGCACCACACACATCTGCGTGATCCTACGCCGGCCATCAGCGCTCACCTGGTAAATCGCCATCAGGCTCAGCGTCTGCACCGTCACGACGCTCGGCGGCCGCTCGAGCAGCGGCTCCGCGTTCAGCGCCGCGCGCGTCAGCTGGAAGTACTGCTCCGCCTCCGAGTTGTGCGGCGCGGGCGGCAGCTCGACGTCCGTCAGCGCGCCGAAGCAGAACGTCACGAACAGCAGCGCCAGGTCGTGCGCCGTCCCCGGCGTGCGCGCGGGCTGCAGGTCGAACGCCGCCGCGGAGCTGCTCAGCTGCGCGCCCGCCTCGATGCTCCCGCTGCCGCTCGCGCCCGCGTGCGCGCGGTACTCCACCGCCTCGGCGTAGAACAGCGGCAGCACCTCCTCGACGAGCTGCCGCCGCGTCACCGCCCCGAAGAACCACGGCGCCTGCTCCAGGTACAGGTCGCACAGCTGCGCCGCGCGCGGCCACGGCGGCAGGTGCGCCTCCATCAGCTCCTGCAC